AAGCTGCAGACCGAATCATGCTTCAAGGAAGAGCACGGCGTCTAGAAGCGCTGAACTCTGCCTTTGCGCGACACACTTCGACATGCGGGCCTACACTGCAGCCGCGGATCTGAAAAGTGTCCGGTTTGGCAACTTCACCACCTCGGTGTCGCAAAGGAGCAACCCCAGACAGCCCCCAACAAAATGACGAAGACTTTGCAAGTACCGCAGCAAATGAGGCGGCAGCCAGGTTCATCTACCGGCTGCGACTCCTCGTGTTCTGGGTCCGAGAAATCTGTTGCAGGCCTGTCGTTGCGTGCTCGGTCATGATACAAGCCTTGGCCAGCAATGAAAACGGTGCACCACAGCACTCAAGACGGAGCCCGATGTTTTAGGCCGGTGGCTCCAGAAGCCCTCGTGCCGCAATCGTCGGTCATGCAAACGGGTCAGCACTGCATCGTCGTCCTCCTGCGGAACAGAACCAGCTTCAGCTTCCTGATACTATAACATTAACCATATTATCACTACAATACCAAAAGATACTATATGTTCTTTTCGAAGCCCTCCGGATGAAGGCTTAACGATGGATCCTGAGTTTGGAAGTCACAGAACCGACACAAGGCGGCGGTTGTCCATGTGGACTTCTGCGCTCTCCCCGTAGTATCAAGCAGTAGCATCAAGCACAGAAGTAAGCGTGGCAGTGAATGAACGGAACTACGTATTTGCGATGTAAAATTGTGCAAGAGAAATCGTGGGTACTTCCTCTTCCAGTCCCAGGCCTTGTAGCCCCACTCGAGCAACTTAATATTCATCTCCCAGTTGGATACCTGCGCCGCGATGGTCCTCGGGCTTGAAGGAGGCTGTGGATGTCAAACATAGGGACAGGACCAGCTCTAAGACGCGAACCTGTGCGCTTCACAACACACCAGGGGTCGCCCTATGGATTCTGAGGTCTGCACCCCAGCGTCCGCTTCATGGACAGGACATTCTTGGCCTCTGGGGCATGCGAAAGTGTATCAGCGCAGTTCCGTCTTGAGCTTCCCGGATCACAGGATTATGACTGAGTCCGTCTGCACAGCTGCTCGGCCTTGAGTTGTTGGGAGCATGCTGACTCTTTCCGTCCCAATTCCCAGGCCCAAGAAATTCCTAGATTCCTAACATTACATTAGAGTTTCTTGAAGTATAATTGTAGTTGTAGCAGAGTTTGGTGAATATGCTGGTATTAGTCTACGTTGAGCTCTGCATCCTGCAGCCTCCTACTCCTACTTCTACTCGACCTACGCACCTTAAGTCACAAAGAATGCGAATGCCGCCCTCTCCCTCCACTCTGTCTAATTAATGCTCACTACTCCAAGTGCAAACACGACCCTGAAAGCCGCCTGTGACATGAATTCTCGGACGCCGGTGGGTCGCATCACGCCCTCCTGGAGTGGGACCACCCCGACGGAAAGCTTCTCACCGGGGATGTCATCGCAGTCCAAGTTAAAGGCATCACAACTTTCCTCATCATCATTGTTTCACCACTCCTACAACTGCCACTCCTCCTCCTCCTGCACTACCACTACCGCCACCACCACCACCGCCACTGCCACTGCTGCTGCTGCTACTGCTACTGCTACGACTACTACTACGACCACCACCACCACCACCACCACCAGCTCACCACTACCACTACCACGTCTACCACTGCGACTACGACTACGTCTACGCCTACTACTACTACTACTACTACTACTACTACTACTGCTACTACTACTACTACTACTACTAACTGCAGCCTGGTTGTGGTCACGGCTGTGAGATGATGATGATGATAATGATGATGGGGATGATGCAGAGACAGGTGCTGCTGATGCTGATGAATGACTGACGATGAGCCTACTCATGAACAACATTGCTGGTGAAAGATGATGATGACAGCCGTGACGGCGAGGACGGCACCGTCGGCGATGGATCATGAAGATGCAAAAGTGGTTACATTGCTCAAACTGTCAAACCCACATTATTCCATGCGTTCACCCCAGGAATGGCTAGATAGGCCTCACGGTCGAGGAATCTGCTGGCCTGTGTTATGGCCAGGCTACCACACCAAATATGCACCGTAAAAACCATCTTCTACATAGAAAGCTTCACTTAAGGTGCTTTCGTTTGTGGATTTCACGTTTAGACCCACCAACGAAGACATAGGCCCATGACAGCAGGGAAGACATCTCCTTCTTGCGCTCGGCCACCTTGCACCGCAACCGTGGAGGCTCGCAGACAGACCCCCGGCGATTGGGAAAGCAGCCCACGATTTCGATTCCTTCTTTCGGCTAACTACTACTGTGAGCAAGAGAGAACTAAGGGCCCAGGCCCCAGTATCCAAATCCTTTCAATGCCCTGGGCGCCGGAATTCAAAAACTAAAGCTGGTTTTGCAGACCCGTTCTTATCCCGAGTAAGCGCATGGCAATGTTGGACATCAGGTCACCTGAGCGGGTCAATCGTGAATGACAGAAACATGCCGAGCTGGTCGGCGGAGCTACCATTACTAACAGCTGCCTGCGAGTTTCTGGTTGCATCCTAACCTTACAGTAAACCTGGCCTATTGCCGCCAGCCCCTATTACAACACAACCCGTGTCAGCTTAGACACAATGTCGAACTGCAGACCCCCCGGAGAACCCTGAAGTTCCGTCAAGGCCTGATACAACATCACTTGCCCGTCCCAACCGCTCGATTGCCAAGTCGCACTCAAGCTGCTCCCTCAGGAGGATGCCCCGAGCCTGGTTCCAAATCCATGTGCAACAGAAAACCGATTATGACTCCAGAGATGTGCCGGTCCTCGCCGACCCTCGCCCAGCACCCTAAATTCCAGCCCAAGCCGGTGGCTAGAGACCAAACTACTCGAAAGCTTCAACCCCAAAGGAGCCGCCTGGAGAAGAAAAACAAACCCTGGGCTCGAGTGTACCGTGCAAGCTCAAGCGAATACGGCAAAAATCTGGACCACAGCATACGACAAAGCCCAGCGAACACTGGAACCGAAAGTATTCGACAAGTATCCTCAGCCCTCACAATTCAAGACACATTTCGCCCGATCCGGCAAGCCAGTGAAGTTGTTTCATCCGGGTATCAATATTGGCTCGGTAAACAGCGTCTTGCCGTATTGTTAGTGGTGGGTTTGTCAACCCTTGGCGGTTGCATCATTTAAAGAAAGCCCACCTCGTCCCATCGAAGAACCCTATCCCACACGTCCACGCCTGTAACTTAGGCTCTAGGGCACGGGAACATTGTACCCACTACTTTCCAGCCCCTTAGGGTTTAGGGTTCTGGGATCCATTTGTGGGTTATACTCCCGTCTGCTCCAAAGCTGCATGGGATCTCAGATCGACGCGGGAGCAGACGGGAGTCTCCAATCGAGAGGCCGAGCAACATGGTCGGCAGCGCTGCCAACGAACAGCTTGGGTTTGGTCGCGAGGAAATAGAACAACCACCTACGATGCTCTCCCTGGCACTGCTTACACCTTGCCAGCTACATTTCTGGAAGCGCACATGCCGCCACTACCCTAGCAGGCTGACAATGTCAAGTAGAACGAAGCCCGCCTTTCGTTGGTCAACCTCCAATGACCGTCCTTAGCCTGTGCCGGGTCAACGATGAAGTATGTCCCTTTCTCAGCACTGCAAAGGCCTCTACTGGTCAGGAAAGTCCTGCCTTCTCCCGCTCAATGAAATCTGCCAGAATTCCAGAAGAAGACCTTGCAGCGACGTGCACTCAAGCGGCTTCAAGACTGGAATCGCCAGCGATGAGCTTCCACTCCGTGCAGCTTCGGCACTGTGTTTCCATGAGCTCGTGGTGCTCCTCCGACTTGAGGCCGACGGCGAGCTCCTGACGGCGAACGAAGCTCGTCGGTCAACAGCAACGGCATAGAACACTGGTATACTGGTCTACAAGATGCCCCGGCACTGACAAGCGGAAGTCCTCCAAGTCAGCCTGATCCAACCTCCACGCAAGGCAAAAGATCACCGTAACATTCTTTGTATCTGGAGGCGCTGGGTCGGTATACAGTGGCAGACTTGGGTGCCGTTCGACGAATGCCGCACACAAACCCCGTGCATACCGACAGTATACGTGGCTTTAGTATAAGCGTTACAGTATAAGTCCAAAGTCTCCATCAAGAGTTCAAGCCATGCGCGGAACCCACAAAATCCCTGAATCTCATACAATCAAGCTGCCGGCATGATAGAGATGCACCCCGGAACCGATTCTAACACATTCAGAATTGCGCCCCTCTTGCATCACCAGATTCCCACCCTAAAACCCAAAACCCTAAAGCCAAGCCTCTAAGCCCAAAGCCCTAAAAGCCAGCCTTCCCACGCCGGACTCCCGAAAGCTCTTCGAGCGCCCGAAGCTCTTGGAGTGCCCCAGGCTCTTGGAGTGTCCGAAGCTCCGAGAGCCTCTTGGGGGTTAAGGGGATTTATCGGGATTGTTATGAGGTCTCATAGGGATTATTGGGAGTTTAGGGGATTTATATTTATATATATATATATATTGCTAGGTTTCAGAGGAATTGAATAGGGATTGTTATGAGGTTTCATAGGAAAGGTATAGGAATTATTGGGAGTTTAGGGGGTTTATAGGGATTGTCATGAGGTTTCATAGGAATGATCAGGAGTTTAGGGGATGTATAGGAATTGCAATGAGGTTTCATAGGGGATTTGTGGGGCGATCTCGGCAGACGAGGTCTCTGGATCTTAGCATCGCGCTTGTCTAGATGCGCATATGCGAAATCAAACCAATGTCCGCTCTATAATATACCAGAAGATACTATAATACGGTACTATAGTACACTATAGCCACTAGAACAGCTACTATGATGCAGGACTACAATGCACTGAAATATGCCATAATGCATTATAACATCTTGCTTCCGTTTCCGCAGCCCACGATCAAAGTCAGAGCGCCGGCCTTTTGTGCCCGACCGCAGCAAACGGCGTGATGTGGACGAGCGGGATAGCCTGCTTCGGACTCGGGCATCTGATGTGCTCTGTCTCTGGTTGGTTTTTGACAGACTTGATGGTATATCGAAGCATACGACAATGAAGTATGATAGTACTGTATAACATCGGATATTTTCGCACTGTATTACGATATATCTACCAGAAGCTCCAGCTCTGAGGCAGGGCTCGTCATGATGACCACGGCATCAATGCATTCCAAGCCGCGTCTTGTGCATCTCTCTGGTCGACCTCTGTGACGGTGGGTCGGACTCCCTGCCTAAGCCGGAGTTCCAAGTAGCACAATCTCAGCATGTTCAACCCTGGGGGGGTGCCGACTCCGGCTGAGGCTGAACAATGAAGCAGAATGTAAAGGAGTCTGAGAATGAGACTGTTGCTATCTTCATTGAGACTCTCGTTCTCTTTGGAGTTCTCTTTGGTGGCACCTGGTCAGATCGACTTCGCTTTGAAACCTGGGCCTTGATTTCGGTCGCATGTCGCAGATGCTTCAGCAATAAGCATCAAGGTGTCCCCCACCTGCAGCTTAAAGACTTTGAATCTACCAACCTACCAACCCATCAGCACCCCTCCTCCTGCGTCATCTTCATCTGCGTCCGGCTCTTCTCCAACACATACTGCCATGTTGACAGCGCCCACTTCGGCTTTGCAAAGATCTGGGCCTTAGCTGGAGGTCGCGAGGCTCGTGAGGCGAGAGCTATGGCTTACTTGACGTCGGGAATCACAACTCATCCTCGACCCGGATCGTCCACACGAGTCTGAGGGGAGAAATTGCGTTTAGGGTTTTAGGGTTTTAGGGTTTAGGGCTTAGGGCAGGAATTCCAAGAAGCTGGTTGTCGCGAGACGCCACGGCCACTGCTATGCCCAGGGCCTCCCAAAAAAGGCGAGAAAAAAGCCTTCGATGCAAGAGCCGGAGCCTCGACACCTCCCTCCCTTTATAGAGAGCCCATAATACCCCTTAAGTAAGGAAGAGACCTTAAAAATTATAGGGGGGCCTTAATATTATGATTTAAGGTGTATATATATATATATATTCCTTAATTAAGGGGTATTGGGCTTTCTGGGTCCCCCCCCCTCCCCCTACTGTTGATGCTATAAATCCTGCATTACCTTAGGGACCCTAAACTATGGGAACGATGGCATATTCCTTATTATGGGCAGTGCAGGATTTATATCATCAACCGTAGTAACTAGTCTCAAGACCTTGACTGAACCATGACCTGCTGTTTTCAAGCCGGAAGCAATGCCTCCGATGGAGATGGTTTCCAGCGCACAGGAAGGCCATGTGGGCGACCATTGCACCAGGAACTATCAGATATCGTTGTATCAGAGCAAATCATGATAATCATGTGGGCTTTGGCATTGTGACCGCCACTGCGGGCGTCTTTCAGCATGGTTCCTTCCTTCTCCCCAGGCTTCCTGTCCTTCCCAGCCTTCCTCACAACAAAGATGATTACGGTTGCTTTCCGTTTCTTGCAAATTAAACTCCCCGGTCAGGAGTGGGGTGAAACTTCTGCCAAACTGAATCACAAAACATGGCCGATCATGCTGCTCGTTGGAAACAACCAGCGACCTCTCGTCGCGGCACTTCAAACCTTTCACTCTTTCACATCAGTAGCTTCTGCCACGTGCCAGCTGGAGGTCAAGCACGCAGTTCGCATCATTGCTTTTTCAGAGCTCTTCTATTCGCGCTGTGCCTGCTCCAGCACCTGCAACCGACCACTGACATCGAAAACGCATGTGCATCCAGAAGTGCTGAAATTCTGCGCATAGTAGCCAGCAGCTGCGCACATCGCTCTCAGACAGTATGTGTGCTATGAGATGCCGCGCGGGTGTCCAAGACCTTGCACTGCGCCAGAAGTGCATAAGAGGCGCCTGGTAAGATCCGGAGGCCCACCGTTTGGAGCTGGTTCGTGTCCTGCAAGGCCTCGGTGACAAGAGCCCGTGGATTCGTTGGCGCATCACTACTAGCAGGGCAGTGGTTTAGGGTTTCGACTGACTAAAGTCTGTGCTTGCTACCGGAACATCCCTCAACTGCCCAACTGCTTACAAGCAGAGCATGGGGCTGTAGCACACATCCTGCATGAGGGGCAAGCCGACGCTGCACAACTCACGTTTAGGGTTTAGGGGTTTGGGGTTCAGGAGCATCTAGACTTCATTGCTCAGCTGCCAGTATGACAGGGTAGGGCAAATGAAATGCCACCGACACGTCATCACCAAAGGTGGCCCCTCAGCCACGGACGAAGTGGATCGGACTGTCCAATCCGGCATGGGCGGAGCCTCCCAAGCGATCCGATGGGCTGCTCGAAGGGTACAGGGCTTTGGATCGGCTGCGCGCTGCGCTGAGCGACTTTGTTCCGTGGACAGACCCAGCCCTAGAAGCGACGGCTGAGGCTGCCACGATGGACCAGTCTCGCACGCAGGCCCACAGACCTCGCCAAGACTCCATGAAGGCTCAAGAGCTGCATTGAAAGCAGTTCGTAGTGTTCACAAAAAGGTCCTTGAAACTCACTGAAGCATTGTCACTTGAAGCTGGGCCGGCTGCCAGACGGCTAGGTTGATGCAACGCATCAACCTCGAGCTCTTGTATCAAGCAGTGTCCAGCCTCGAAGAGACCTATAACATGGAGCCCCGGTAGCCTCACGGCAGACATTGTCCGGCTGCGGCAAGAGATGACAAGAAGTCCTCACAGCCACTTCTAGCAAGGAGGGCTGTGTTCGGACATTAATTGATTAGCACAATGTAGCTTGGTTCCCCAATGCAGCTTGTACGATGGAGAAGGGATCCCAGGATCCCAGTGGAGCGCAATCTACCTTCCCTTATTGAACGGGAGTTGTGGCGCGGCATTCCCAGGCTCCCCTCCTACTGTCCTACTCCTAATTGCAAGTGCCGGTGATTTCCTATTTCGATCAACTTACGCCAGGTTCACTCGCCTGAAGCCAACCTCACCACCCAAATCCTCAAGAGCGACTGACTTACAACCCGTCGGCTGCCGCTCCTCCGGGCTTGGTCGCGGATGCGGCGAGTGCAGTCCACGCAGTGTACCTCAAGGCTAAACAACCTGCACTTCGACGCAAGTCGGGCTGTTACCGAACCTGCACTTCTGCGGCCTTGCTGTGGCGTCTGTTGTAGTTTGCTGAAAGTGTCGACCTTTATTGCTTCCTTGCGAATGCCCAAACCATCAGACCGGGCCCGCGGACACGATTCTTCCGTTGTCGGGGGCTCCTCTTCTACCTGCACCTGCCCTCCAACTCCGTCTATAGCTCTTATGTCCTCAATCCTTGTGCTGATTTACCATAATTGCGCATTTTTGCTTCTGTTGTGTGTACCCTCCCTCACCATGGTGGGAGGTGGCGGTGGTGGTGGTGGTGGTGGTGGTGGTGGGTGGGGGTGGTGGTGGTGGTGGGGGTGGGGGTGGGGGTGGGGGTGGTGTGGGGGTGGGGGTGGGGGTGGTGGTGGTGGGTGGTGGTGGTGGTGGTGGTGGTGGGTGGTGGTGGGTGGTGGTGGTGGCGGTGGTGGCGGTGGTGGTGGGGGCGGCGGCGGGGGCGGCGGTGGCGATTCGCGTGACGCTGATTGCTGTTGTCTGCTCCATTTCAAGTCTCATTGATACTGGCCATTGAATAGCAATAGGTCTGGGTTTGCGGACAGCCGTGCCCCCTCTTCCACACTGCCATAGGTTGGTGCCTCGGCAATCACCACCGTAACAGGAGCCAGGCTGCAAAATTACGGGCATCTGCATGATCCGACTCTTTGCAGCGACGCATATTATCGGCACCAGTGCTCGGCACTGTTGGCACGAACTAGCTCTTCTTCACCATGATTAGACCATGGATCAGAGCTCGTCCGAAGAGCATTGCCCCTTACAACCGCTGGCAGCCAATGCTTCACTCAGTGTTCCAATTCACTTCCATGAATCATGGCTTCAAGGATCCAGCAAGTGGAGGTGGCTCCAAAGTGACCTGGCTTGCGGCTACCCTTTTCTGCACTGCACTGATTTCCGGAATGTCCGCAATCCCGAACTCAAGACAAGCTGGAGAGGCGATGTCGAACCTGCAGGACCTAGGCCGTTTGGCTCAAGATGTGCGCCAGTCGCCAGTCGCACAGCCACTAAGCTAACTTGATCCAACTTGAAGCCCTCCGCCTTCCTTGTTCGATGCTCCCTGCTCTGAGGGGTGCTGGGAGACAACACTCCACGTTCAGGTCATGCGCATAAAGGCACGACGGCCACGTCTTCCGCAGACAAGCTCTATATGGCCCCCGAAACGGCATCCGGAATCACCAAACTCTTGCAGTTCAGGACTTGTTTTCCCAAAGATGAGAAGCTGAACCGGGGGCTCTCGAGAAGCCTCGCGACGAGATGGCCCAGGAACTAGTTAGAACTGTCCTCAACCCCTTAACCTCTTGGCAGCGGATCTTCCCTCCCCCTCCCAAAGATACCAGGGAGAAGTGTAGGATCTAGCAATTGAGAAACCCAGACTCTGAAACAAAAACCGGTCCTCTCTGTCTCTGGCTGCTGTCTGGCTCGCCTCTGGGCTTCTGGCGACTCGCCTCGAAGCTCGGAAAGATTGGGCTCCTGAACGGGACATAACCTCTGCTGCCTGTTAGGCTTCCCTGCTTTAGCAAGGACCATCAATTAGGGTCCGACTTATTCCGACTTGTAGCATGAGTTCACCTGACAGACTTCGACCCGAGAACCGAAGAGTCACGAAGCCCCAGTATCTGTTGGTATAATTGTCCTACCGTACAAGGTGAACCGCAAACCCTCCCGTCCCCGAAGACCCAGCTGACGGCGGCGCCTTGCTCAAGGAAGAAATTGTGACCTTGTCGGAGCAGCCGTTCCTGCGAGATGAGGAAAAGTGCCTTCATAACCACAACAAGTCTTTCAACGGCTCTTCTGCGGTTTAAGGGATTGGCACAGGGTTTGCGGTCTAGCATTGAAGAGTCTTCGAGAGAGTGCCAGGGGCTACGATTCTGATTGCTAATTGTTTGGGGGGGTTTCCGAAAATAGGGGTCCCTAATATAGTACCCTGAGGATCTTCATATAAGGACCCCAAAATAAGGTACCCCCCCCCATTTTCGGAAACCCACATTTAGACCTCCAGCTTGGCGGTATGGGGAAGCCCTGCACGAGATGAAAGCCCGGGATCAAAAGCCCGCAGCCCCAATCCCCCTAAAGGGATCAAACCACAAAGACGATCCAAAGCCAGTTGTGAGTAATGTACTTCCGGTCAAGAAACCATCAGCAGCTTGCACACCCCCAAACCCCTCAACCCCTAAGCCTGAACAGGATTAGGATTGGGGCATCCCTAAACCCTAAACCCTAAGCCCAAAACCCAAACACCCAAAACCCAAAACCCAAAACCCAAACACCCAAAACCCAAACACCCAAAACCTAAAACCCAAAACCCTAAAGCCATGGGCCTCGCCGCCAATGTCTCCAAAGCTTCTTTGGCCTGCTCAGGGAAACCTCGATCGGATCGCTGGCTCCAGTTGAACTAGAATAATAATAATAATAATAATAGTAATAATAATAATAATTGTTATAATAATAATAATACGAATAATAATAATAACAATAATAGTAATAAGAATAATACTAATAAAAGTAGTTATAAATAATAACT